TCTCTCGCACTTGCATTCACGACCGAGAGACCCCAAGATAACGCACACTAGCTCGCTCGCGTGTAAAGACCAACGAAGAGGCGTGGATTGCTCCCTCTTTTACAATTACCTTTCACCTTCATTTTCTCGCTTATTTTTGCAAATACGAAGATACACCTTACAACATTTTTTATGTATTTTTTAATTATCTACAACTTTTGTTTGAAACTTTTTTTGATTAAATGCCTAGATTCTAAGATACGACCATTTTTACCCTTTTTCTCGTTAAAGCCACATCGTATTGCAAAAAAATTAGCACCATTCGATTCAGCGACGTCGAATTACCTTTGTATCAAACTGTCGAGAACTTCTACCTAAAAGTTTTTCCTTCACCTCTTATTGACTGGGCTATATGTTTTATAAAGAAATATATAATAAATATATTCATATCTATACTTACTCGTTTTCATACTCTTTTCGTTGTGAATCATCAGCGAGTTTGGATTAGCATAAACGGAATTGTTCAGCTCTGTTATCGGCTCCCAATCTAAAATGAGAAAAAGAAGAAAGAAAAAAATACCCACATATATATATTTAATCAATTACAATGTTATAAGAAATAAATTCTGTTGATTTTTTCTTCTCGTTAGTAAAATTGCATCTTATTACAAAGATAAATGACTGCGTTATAATTGTATAATAATTTCAATAATAATTAATTTAAGAAAAAATAATATCACAATAGACAAGGATAGTAAAAATATATTATTTCAACACATTTATATTTAAATAAAATTGTTAAATATATAATTTTGAAATCATAATGATTGACATTACAAATTCATTTTTAAGATTAAAATATCCCGGAAAAGAATCGGTTAAACAAATTTTAGGGGAATTATGCTTATGAGAAAGACGAGAGCAATCAGAGATATATATAGATAGATAGACAGAAAGAGAGAGAAATGTTAATAAAAAAAAAGAAGAAAGAAAACAATTTGTGTATTCGTGGAAAGATCTACTTCGTTAGCGTTGTTGGTAATGTATTAACGAGCGTATCTAACAGACGGTTGCAGATCGTCTAAGGAATTTCAAAAGTAGAGACGCGCAAAATCAACGCCACGCGATGTGTCACGTAACGTTGTTAACGCGAAAGGAGATGATTGCATCCCGCATAATGAAGAAGCACCGAGTTTGTCCGTCTCTAATGAAATCGCATAAAACGGAACGTGCCGATGTACTTAACAGCCGGAAACACCGTTGTTCCCACTATTCAAATTGGATAATACAATTGACGTTAATTGTGACTTCAAATAGTACCAGTGAGATGTAAAAGAGGGAAAGAGAGAAAACCAGATACAAGGAAACACACACAAAGAAGAAATATATATATATCTTTCTTCCTTTTTAGAGAAAATTTGTACATTCGTTAGGCTCCACGTATGATTGCTGTACGTCGTTAGTATGTTGGCTATATTAATTAATCAAACGAATATTCTTTCCAGTATTATCAATTTTTGTCGATTCAATTACTATGGATTAGTTTACAATGTTTCTTATTTGTCTTTTTTTTTTATTATTATTAATGTGAGGATACAGAATATCTTAGAAGTGTGGTTACCATAGTGTTTAAGTTTTCTACAAAAGAGTGTATGTGTGATGGTATGGTGTGTGTGAGATTGTAACGAAGAAGAAAGAAAGCGTTTCCTGTAGATATGTTTTGTTTAGATAGTAAGACTACACCGTGTGGACCTGTCGCCTTTATGCAGCTCCATCGAAATCTCTCGAACGTTCTCGCTCCGGAAGTACGGAAGTGATCCGTTGTTTATGAGGGAGAATTATCGAGAGGTTTCTGGAGGGACTGCCAGGAAGTGATGAAAGACGATGGAGAGAGGGAAGGGCATAAATAGGCGTCGATGGGGACCGGACGGCGCATTTCATATTCGGACATTCCGTGATAGTACTTTAGTTTGCGCGACAATAGATTATAGATTATTCACCATTCTATCTCTTAAAACAATTTTACCAAAATCGTTTAGCATTACTATTAAGCGTTAATGATTAAGTCATTATTATTACCTTTTATATTTTATTCAAATTATAATAAATTAAATCTTACATTAATGTAGGATTTGTATTTAAAACTAATATATTTATTTTATAGAAAGGATTACTACAATAATTGTATAGGTAATTTAACGATCTAGCCACGATTGGATTATTAAAGTCAAGCATAGTGGGCACGATTAGTAACATGGAATGGATGACCCATCCGAGGAAAGAAAAAACAAAAATCCGTGTGGTATTGATTCTGGAAAAACGGTATAAAGACGCGATCTCTTTGGTAGTATTATATTTTAGAATAGTTAGTATAGAAATGACAAGTACTCTTAAAAGAGGAAGAATATAAAAGACCAAAAAAAAAAGAAATGTATATTTGAACAACTCACCTTTTCTAGATATTTCCGTAGTCGATGGACTCGGACTGGTACTCGGTGGCGGAGATTCTACGAACACAAAAAATTTCACACAAAATTAACTCTCTAGTAAAATATACAGTAAAAAAAATCTTTAAGAAAAAAGAAAATATAT